TCACGAAACTAACCCTTTTCCAATCTTCCCGCGCCAGCGGGATTTGATGATAGCCCTGCGACGCATCCATCAAGCTGAGTAGCTCACATCCGGCCGTGGAATCGACCAGCTGGTCGATCCTGGGCAATGGGTACAAGTCCTTCGGGCATGCCTTATTCAAATCTCAAAAGTCTATGCACATTCGCCACTTTCTCGCTGCCTTCGATACCATCACCGTGTTCGACAACCAGTTCGAGAATTGGATCTCCTTTATGTGGCCTGCCATCAAGTGCTTTTCTACTTCCAGTTCGATCACTTTATCCATTTCTGCCCCGTGATGCCTCCTCTTTTGCTTCATCGGCCTCACAGTGAGGTCGATATTCAGTCGGTGCTCGATAACTTCAGCCTTGATACCAGTCAACTCCTCTGTCGAGTATACAAACACATCCGCGAATTCCCTTATTATACTAATCAACCTCGATCTCACTGGCTCCCCCAATTCCTTCTCGATTCGAAACCTTTTCTCTTCACACCCCTCGATCATCTGGATCTCCTCCACCTCGCCTCCTGGCTGAATGTCCATATTCTCCTTACCCTTCTCCAACTTTTGCCCTTCTTCTCTCGATCTTGACCCTCCCGGTCGACCAACCTCCTCTCCTTTCAGCTGCGTCTGCCTCCTTGCTAGCTGTTTGTTATTGCTCACAGTGGTTTGGTAGCAGCTCCTCGAGGTAAGTTGATCCCCAACGATCTCACCAACGTTTTCGCCCACCGGATATTTGATCGTCATGTGGTACGTGGACACGACCGCCTGGAACGCGTTCAAGCTCGTTCTCCCCATTATGATGTTGTAAGATGATTCAGCTCCTACGACCATAAATCTTACCATTCGAACTTTCCGAGTCGCTCCCTTCCCTAGGGCTACAGATAGACTCACCTCCCCCATCGGCATAACCTCACCACCATTAAAACCATACAAGGCCGTAGCCACCGGATTCAACTCCACATTCAATTCCCGATTTATCTGCACGAAACAATCATAAAACATGACATCGATCTTGCTTCCCGTGTCTATAAACACCCTTTTTAGCCTTACTTGTCATAAAATCAGTAGGGCAAACAAACCTGCAACTTCTGCCGTGATCACCAAGGCATCATTATGAGGTATCACCATCCCTGCTGCATCCTCTGCCCGAAAACTAATCTCCGGTACTCGGGCCGTGATACTCACCTTCTCTCTTTTCCTCTTCATCGATCGAACATGACCCTTCCTAGCATTATTCGAGTCTCCGTCTGTCGATCCTCCCAAAATTATATATATCGTGCCTCTCTTCACCTGGCCTCCCTCTCCTTGCCTCTCTCGTTCTCTACTCCCTCGCCTCCTCTTCCCCTCATCTCTCTTTCAACCATCTCGACCACCTCGAGGATCCTCCTCATCATCTTCATCACTTCTCTCCACCGACTCTTCCTCTTCTCCTTCTCTCTCATCTTATCCTGATAAAAGAACTCCTTGAGATGCCCTGCTCGGATAAGGCGCTCTATTTCGTCCTTGAGATGTCGACAATCCTCGGTAGTATGGCCATAATCTTTGTGGAAGCGATAATATCTCCTCGATTTTTGTTGAATTGGCCCTTCGAACCTCGACCTCGGCCACATCACATCTTTCCCTTCTATCCCCTTCTCCATAGCCATCAAGACCTCGGCTACCTTCGCATTCAATGGGGGTATAATCATGAAATCTCTTTCCTCCAAAGATAGGCCGGTCCTTCCATTTGTCCTCGCGTCCCCGATCCTACTTAGTTCGCCCCTCTCTCCTGGGCGAAGCTCTCCTCTTGGGCGAAACCACCTTCTCTTTCTTCGGCTCCCCGCGACCCAACTCCTCTAGTTTGGCAAACTCCGCCTCGGTCCCCTCAAGATTAATGTATTTCTTACACCTCCTCAACACCTCATCATAAGTATGAGCCGGGGTCTTAGCCAGAGAGGTCCGACATGGCCCCGCTCGCAAACTCCTAATCAAATCCCCCGCCTTGACCTTATCGACCGCCGACGGGATCTCCAAACAAGCCTGGTTGTATCGGGCTACGTATTTGTGCAGTGACTCCTTCTCGCCTTGCCTCATCGCCATCAGGGTTAAGTACGTTTTCTCCTGAGCCACCGCACTCGAATATTGATTCGTCAACTACTCCGCGAAATCCTCAAAGTCTGCAATCGAGCCTGGGGGGAGATGTTGGAACCAATCGAGGGCGCCTCCCTTGAGGGTTGATAAAAATGCCCTGCAACTAACGAGGTCAGTGTATCCATGCAACACAGCCATATTCTCGAATGTCCTCACATGCTTCGACGGGTCAGAAGTCCCATCGAACACCAAGTTGGTATCCTTGAAGTTGATTGGCAAGGGTGCTACTAGTATGTCCGTCGAGAACGGATGTCCTCGAGCGTGTCTCTCCGTTCGACCATCTACCTTGGCCTGCAATTGACGCAGTTGTTCTGCCATTCTCTCTATTTCTCGGTCATGTGGGGCCCCGCCTCCACCATAGCTAGATTCATCCTCCTCTGCAATTTGGCGTGACCCCGCAACAGTGTTCGACATCGTGGTAGTCCGAGAGAGACTGTTTGTGACTTGCTGCACCGCCTGCGCAGCTGCCTCTGCCACCATTTGTTGCATCTCTTGTCTGGTCATCACCACCTGCTGGTCGGGGGCTTGCATCGCTGTCTGCGGTGGTGCTCCTCATTGCGCCACCGTTCCTCCTCCTTACGCCAAGGTTCCTCCGGGTTGCGCCACCGTTCCTCCTCCTTGCGCCACCGCTCCCCCTGGTTGCGCCACCACGGGATTTTGGGGCGGTGGTGGTGGCATCGCCGCCGCAATTGCTGCACGTGCCTCCTGAGCACGACTGGAGCCAGCGTCTCCTCTGGGAATCGTCGTCGTCGCTCCCACACCTTGAAGGACAGGTGTAGGAGTGACCGACGTCTGCGATGGGCCAGAAAAACCCAGAGGAGGGCCTTGTCCAAACGGCCTGGTCGTCGTCCAAGCGTCATCAAACGTCGACTGCAAGTTTTTGGGAATTCCGTCCGCCATAGCTGAGCTTCAAACACAACTTCTCAAACGGAAGTCCCACAGACGGCGCCAAATGGTAACACAAAACATCCCGACCGGCAGGAACTTGAATAATCACCTTCCTTCTCGCCGATTGAACGTCGTGTACCTACAAAGAACTTTCACACCGGAGGGGTTTTCTGATGAAGAGCCTCCGAAGCTTAAAACAAGTGTATATTCAATCAATTCTCAAGAGTAAGTAATGGAATGATCGTGTTGAAGAAGAAAGGCTCACCCCTTTTATATAGGGGTGAGATACCTGACCTAGGGATGCCCGAATTTGATGAGATGTCCGCCTTAACTGCCCGTCCGTACACACCATATGCGTGTGTCAGAGGTAGCCATCGCCACTATCACCTGCCCTAATACCCTTTGGACGCGTGTCCTCCTGCACATGGGGTAGGCTGTCAGAGGTGGTTATCGCCATCAACCACTGCCTTCTCGACACGTGTCCCCCTGCACATGGGGTAAATATTCTCTTGAAATTCAGTTAGAGGCTCTCTCACGCGCCTGTGACTTGGTCGATCCGTGTAGTGTTAAGTTCTCAAAGTGGTCGACCTGTCGAGGCCGACTGACCTACTCGATCGTTCATCTGGTCGAAAGATAGTTTGGTCGACAGCTTTGCTGGTCGACTGTTAAACTGCTCGACCTCCTTGACTTTCCTCATAATACGACTTCCTCGACTGGTCAATATACCGGTTTAGCCTTGTGGGTAAAATATCCCATATCATCGAGTACCCCCCCCCACTCTGGTCGAGTCTGAACGACTCGATCTAAGAGTGAATTTGTGCCTATCGACCTCTTGAATAGCATGGTGTCCGATATCGACCATCTGATGGATTTCCTGCTTATTTTTCAAATACTACCTCATTAATTGCCAGAGATAAGGTCGCCTGTCACATGTCCTTTCTGTTGCGCCTGCTTTTCTGCCACGCGTCGCGTCTGCCGCGTTTGTCAGGCATTTTTAATGATAGCGCCCCCTCGTATAACGCGCCCCTTTTGGGTGCTGTGTAAATTAATGCTCTCTACCATTAGATCTGGCTTTAATTCGACGGTCTTCATCTTCAACCCTTTAACCTTCCCCAGTATAAATTCCACACTTAGAGAAATTTTTCGATATTTTCCACCTTTGTGAATTTTAGACTCTTCTGTGCTTACAACTTCTTCTGCAAAAAACCCTAATCTTTTTTCGGCGATTTCCCTTGCGATCTTCGAGTTCTCCCAAATCTCTCATCCGCGATTATGAGTAAGTCGCTTCTTGCTTGATTTTACTTTTCCTGTATCTGAGCTTTTGCGTTTTGAATTTTTTGAATTGGGTGTCTAAGTTTGATGTTTGAGTGTTGTGAATCTGTGTGTTGAATGTCTGTCTCTGCTGATTTATCACTGTGAATTTTACCCTTTCCCTTCGAAAATCCCTCGAAATCCCTGTTTTCCTTCTTTAATTTTTACAAAATCTTGTCGAAGGATAGTTTGGTCGACAGCTTTGCTAGTCGACTGTTAAACTACTCGACCTCCTTGACTTTCCTCATAATACGACTTCCTCGACCGGTCAATAGACCGGTTTAGCCTTGTGGGTATAATATCCCATATCATATATTTACTAAATTTTTAATAAATTATAGATTTGCCACAATTACCTCAATTGTAATATAACTAAAAATCCTAAAATTGCATATAAATCCTTGATATTTGTCTAATTTTCAAAAGGAATGCCCACAATTCTCACAGCAACAATCCTATGTCGTCATCCCGATTCACAATCTCGACACCACCGTCGTCTGAACTCGCCGTCGCCGGCTCCAGAGATTGGATTGTTGCAACGTTGCACCGACACCGTTCAATTTTTCCATCTCCGACACACCAATTGTGCCCTTTCTATCCTGCCTCGCCGCACGCAGACTGCAGGCTGTCTCGCAGCGACCGAGATCTCCTATGTCCAGGATGACTCCGGCTCTGCTCCGTCAGCCTTGATCTCGCTGCCGCCGGTGGTTTCTCGCCAGTCGAGTTGACTTATATGGTGGTCGACGGCGACACTGTAAGTCAGTATTGTGTCGTCGTAGTCGGCAGCGATGACGTGGCCGTCGACGCCACAAACGGTGTAAACACCGGCGACTGCAAGAAACTGTCGTGAAGGTGGGAGATTTTTTTTCCTCTGTGCGGCAGGAGAGAGAGATTTAGAGAGAGAGAGAGAGAGAGATAGAGAGAGAGAGAGAGAGAGAGAGAGAGAGAGAGAGAGAGAGAGAGAGAGAGAGAGTCACGTGGGGCTGGGGGATGAGATGAGTTAGTGAAGGTTGTGTAAGTTGTGGTAGGGCCCACTGACTGACGTAAGGACTGATTTGCCCTAAATGAGTGCAAAAGATTGATATTTTTTAGCCTTTGGATTATTTGATCTCATGGTACTGATTTATTCTTATTTCTTTCACTTAGTAATAGACTCATACATTAGAAACAAAGTCGAGCATCTCAATTAATCAAACAACTGAACGAATGTGAGGTCGTTGCCAAAAAGTAAATCGATGTATCATATCAATGAAGTGTGTATACACAAAAGTATCTAAAGATAGGAAAGGAGAACAAAACCAAATTGAAGTGAAACGTCTTTCTTTGTCGAGCCATTAAGACGTTAAATCCACCAAAAACCTGTAAAATGGTCCCATATATAGAGCAGCTGTATTGTCAACAAAGCAAAAGAAAAGGTGAAAAAATAAATAAACAAAGACATGAAAGTATGTACGTACCTCAGGACAAGATGACAAGTCCAAGATATATAGCTCCACATAAAAACATGAAGGATATCATTCCCCTGCAAAATTATTTCATTTACTAACAGAAAAAACCAAAAAAAAAAAAAAAAAACTTATATGATCGATAATTATGACGACTATCAGAACTGATTTATTTAAAATAACTTTTTTTTTTCAGTTTTGATTTTCCCCAACCCTCAATTCACAAAGTGTTTGAAGGAAACAGAGATAGGCATAAACCAAATAATTCCCCATCCAACTCCATTACAAGGACAAGGGCAGAGTTCTGCAAACTTCTCAGCATCGCTCGAGTGCACTCTTCGAGATATCAAATCGTCATATATATCTGCAATTATAAAGAAAATGTAACTTCGTTTAGATTTGGCTGTATTCCACTTCATTCACTTAGTGTGAGATAATGGATGAGTATTTACCGTAAACTGAAAACAAACTATTCATAACACCTGCCACAAAGAAGGAAAAAAATGCATAAGCAAGCGGGAAAATTTTTAATGTAAGGGGATTGAATGATGGAAAAGTAAAATATATGAGAAAAGGTATAGCCATACCAATAAAGAGAATAATGTAGCGAAGAATACGAACTGTAGTCAGTTCTTGCAGCAGCCAAATAACACCGATAAAAACGATAAATCCTGGCAGCACACAAAACATGAAGTGATTATTATGACGGATTTGCAAAAGTAGTTTTTTTCACCAATAAAATAACTTACCAATGCAAAGCCTACGAAGTGTCCACTGTGAAAAAAATCAAACAAAACAGCGTAATAATAAGTAAAAATATCCAGAAATAGAGAGATTAAAAGAAAGGAACTCATCATAGTTACATATGGAACCCTTCTTCAAAGATTCTTACATTTTTGGCTATGAAGAGGACAATAAGAAGGGAAAGAATAAGACAACCGGCAGCAATCCTTGCGGTGAGTAGATTTGTTGATGCAAGTATGAGAGCCATTCCCCAAAACGATGAACCGAGATCTACGGCCACAAAGAGATCATAATAAAAAACTAAATGATGAAATTATATGTAATTTTTTAGATAGTGTTTCTCACATAAAAGGAAAGAAAAAAATAGCTGCAAATTAATGAAGGAAAAAAAAAAGCAATAAAATTGCAAGAAAAATAAGTAAATAAAAGGAACCTTAATGTGTATTATAGAGTCTTACATCTAGCTGGCAAGATCAACCAATAGATACTGCCACGTGTCTGAGTGACCCCACCTTCATTTGCATGAACTTGAATGCCCTCTACCTGCATGTAAAATGCACATGAGATATCTGTGAGTGTAAAAAGAATATGTAGAGAAAAAGGAGTAAGCAAATGTCTATTAATGTTATATGTACGTACCCCTTTCGATTTTGAAAATTTAAATTCCAGACAAAGACCACATCACTTGCCAGAAAAAAAAATGTTAAAAAAGATCGCCGGAACTAGAAAATTTGTTTTGATTTCAAATACGATGACAAATTTGAGTCTATATATGTAAAGCTTAAGACATTTGGTTACTATTGAAAAAAAAGGGAAAAGTATAACATATTGCTTAATTGCGAACAAATCTGTAATAATCTAAATCAATCGAGATATTCTCATCATTCTTGCAAAAATTTATGGTATTCAAATAAGATCTATGGGCGATAAAACACTGATTCTTTATCATTAGGAAAGACTTTTGGAGATAGTGACAATAAGATGAAATGTTTTTACAGACACTAAACAACTAATTTATCATCGTTATATCTTGTCGTACGTTTATATGTATCAAAACTCAGTTCTTTAGGAACAAGAAAAGAATATAGAAGTCCTAATTTTCAGTGATTGTATTTATAATAGATATTTGTTTTCCACTCTCATCTTCTACAACCACTTCAATTGCTTAATGAATATACAAATCAAATTTCAACAATCCTAATAATTTAAGTGCAACTATATGCCCTGAAGGAAATCATCAAGAGGAAAATGGTTGCATACATCACAAGTATAGTTGAAAAATGCAAATAATAAAAGAAAAATTCAAGTCCACCAATGAGATAAATATCAGCAAAAATCTTTATCTACCTCACCACATGTAAGCTTACAAGCAATTGCATGGCTTGCCTCATGAAGAAATACTTTAATGAGTTTGAAGGGTGTCAATAAAAACGTCCTCCAAAGCTATCATTACAATCACAGGGGCAAATGAGAAAATAATAAAAAAAAAAAAACAAAAAAAAAAACAAAGATCAATGCGTAAATCTCTTTGGTATAATGCAGGAAAACAGGAAAATCAAAATTACAGAAAGCCAAATATGTTTTGATAAGCTGAATACATTCTGCTAAAGCTTTATCCAACTGAAAACCAAAAACAATTGTGCAATCATATGTTTTTCTTGAAAATCGGGAGATAGATTTCGAAATATTTGCCTAGTAATAATTTCAACCAGCTGAAAAAGATGTATAAAATCAAGACAACTTGATTAGTAACTTCAGACTGGCTAGATTTTTCTTAGAGTCATTCAAGAGAATCTAACATTTACATGAGTCAATTGCAAGCCAAGATTCAGTATGTTAGTGTATTCTTAATGCATTTACTTTTTGCATTTTAATAATAGATAAGCTCGATTGGCACACAATTAGTTAATCGTTTAGAGTAATTCTTAGAAGGCAAAATGTTCACAAGATTTTTTGAAAAAGTGAACCAAATTACGCGATATGGCATACCATACCAGTCACCAGAGCTCGCATCGCTCGGTAGTAGCTCGGTTGGATGGTCACAATTAGCAGCTCGGTTGGAGATCGGACCGTACAATGGTTTAGTTAGCTAGGAGACAATTCCGCCGTATGGAGGACAACTTCAGGTCGAGTCATTACTCTAGGATAGTTTGACATATACTCGACCTAAAACTAGAAAGGTAGATGACAACCTCAAAAGACACCTTTTGGCTCAAAAAGGTTAGATTAGTTGAAGTAGAGGCGATTGAGCTACTCAACTGAATCAAACGTGGGGTGACTACCTAAGGAAGCAAGAACAACGTAAACACGATTCGATAAGAAAAATACTTAGGCAATAAGATTGGGCAAGTCTTGGGCAGTACGAGTATGCAGGTAGCAAGATTGGGCAAATTTTGGGCAACAAAGTAATGCCTTTATACAAGGGGCTGAGGTATAACTATCACTTCTTCTCTCTCTAGACATTCTAAGCTATTATTATCCATAAATCACCTTCTTCACTAATACTTACTTCGGCGTCGGAGGCTTTACGCCGGGAAACCTCTCGGCGCTGTTTTACAGGTAATCGTAGCAATTCAAGGACAGTTCAGACGACATTCGGCCGGATTGCGGTTGTTTTACACTCTATTTAAGAGAACTTGATTAGTAACTTGAGACTGGCTTGATTTGTTTTAGCAAGACATGTAAGAGAAGCTAGCATTAAAATGAGTCAGTTGCAAGCCAAGATTCAGTATGTTAGTGTATTCTTAATGCATATACTTTTTCTTTTTACATTTTAATAATAGATAATCTCGATTGGAACACAATTACTTAATCATTCAAAGTAATTCTTAGAAGGCCAAATGCTGATATTCACAAGATTTTTCCAAAAGTGATCTCGATATGGTTATATCCCTCAATCTACTTTGATTTCTCTAATTAATGCACCATGAGAATTATTTTCATTAAGAAAAAAGATATAAAAAATTACGCTAACATACATTTGACATCATTGAACACATACTCATGAAGTTACATGGATATTTTATCCGAATACCTATGTCCTCCCGTTAGATGTATCAATGAAGCATGGGGGATTGTTTTATAGGATGGCCTAACTTCACCATAATAATTCATCGTCATAAGGACACGTTGATCCACAGAGCTATTAATTCCTGCACTAGATTATGATTTGCACACAATCTATTTACGGAAAATATTCCAAATGGTATCGTAACTTGGCCTATTTACACAAAAGATGTTTTATATTGGAATATCAATGTCCATCATATTAGCATTAAACTTACACAAAGACCAAGCAATAGTAGGTTAGTATACCACATCATTAGTATATCAAACTGATGGACCATTTATAATTTTTCTTCGAAAATTATTAAAAAAAAAACACGAAAAGAAAAACATAACAATTATCAGTGAATGAAATTGAAGAATGACTTAAACAGATAATGAATTCGCTCGATAACTGCAATTGGTAATCAGTATGCAGTTACCATATCACTAAACTTCTCCCAGGTAGAAGTTAATCAAACAAGTTAGTTCAGGGCTTCTTCAAGATTTATTTAACAAATGGTCTTGAAAAGATCAGAAACAAACTAAAATAAAGCTAACCGCAAAAATTGAAGCAACATCCTAAAAGACTTAAAAGATACGAACTTCCTAAAATTCAAGAATTCCAAGAATAAGATGGGGCAGGAATTGTTAATCGAAAAGGGCTAACCATAACAAATCTATAGCGAAAAGTAGTCAAGTGTAATCAAATGTGAGCAGAAGGAAGAAAAAGAGAAAACTTACAGCAACAATTACAAGAGTAAAGACACCAATAGTTGCAGGAAACACCACTTGTTCGTGCTGACAACAATTCCTCAGTTCCCAATTCGGATCCATTGTCCGAAAAAAGAAGAATTGGTAAAGAAAAACAGTTGGAAGATCTTGATTATTGAAAAAGAAGAGACCGATAAGAGGAGGAGATGGAAGAGAAAATTTGTCGGTTTAAAAATCTTGTGTGTGTGTGTTTTTGCTCCTCAACCTCAAAGTTTGAATATGTCCATGTTACGCGGAGCTGCTGTCCTAACTGGCAAAATGGGAACATAACATTGGTAATTGATTGGCTGCTATACGCCGTTCCCAAACACGCCTTTGTCCTTTTACTGCACACTTTTCCTAAAAAAAAAATTGAGAAAACGGTGTTACTATTTATTGCCTCTATTACTAAATATCGCCCTTTTAAAAGATATTTATACCATTTTCTTTTATAAAATAATCATTTCATTTCTCACTATACTCTCTCTCTTCTCTCGTTTTGCTTTCCTAAAATACTTCCGACAAATTCCGGCGAAAGAATGTCGTCCGAAAGTGTCGATCGGATTGCCGCTGGCCGAACGTTGACCGCGGCCGACTAGCTTGACTTTTTCGGCCGGACCTAATATGACCGCCAAAGCCTGGCGGGCAAGCCATTCTTGGCCAAAACGGGCCGCCGGTCGGCCCTTGGTTGGCTGCAGTCGACGGTCGTTCGTCGGCCGCGCGGCCAGTTCCGGTCGGCCGACATTTTTCTAAATTATATTACTATAAATTATATTAGTATGTAAAAAATCATATTAGTAATTATTATTCAACAACAACAACAACGACAAAGCTTTTTAGTCCCAAACAAGTTGGGGTAGGCTAGAGATGAAACCCAAGAGAAACAGTGGTAATAGAAAAAAAAGGCTAAAAAAAACAAAACAAAACAAAACCAAAACAAAACAAAACTCAAAACAAAAACAAAACAAAAGGAAGAGATTGGAGCAAAAGAGAAAGGAGCAAAAATTACGGTTCTGGCATGTTGATCGCTAGCCTCCAAGCGCTCCTATCCACCGCTAAATCCTTGGAGATATTCCAATTTTTAAGGTCTCTCTGTACCGACTCTTCCCAAGTGAGTTTAGGCCGACCTCTACCTCTCTTAACATCATCGGCCCGTTTTAGAACCCCACTACGCACCGGTGCATCACGAGGCCTCCATTGGACATGTCCGAACCACCTCAGCCGATGTTGAACCAATTTCTCCTCAATTGGAGCCACCCCGACCCTATCTCGAATATCCTCATTCTGGATCTTATCCCTTCTTGTTCGCCGTCCTATAGAACTTACCTTTTAGCCTTTGTGTCACCCTCTTATCACAGAGAACACCTGAAGCTTGATGCCATTTCAACCAACCGACTGCAATTCTATGCCTAACATCTTCATCAATACTGCCATCCTTTTGTAGCATCGATCCTAAATACCGGAAAGTCTCCTTCTTGGCCACCACTTTCCCGTCAAGTCTAACGTCACCATCATCATGAGTAGCCATGCTGAAAGCGCACGTCATGTACTCGGTCTTCGTCCTACTAAGTCTGAAGCCTTTCGACTCTAACGTGTCCTTCTACAGCTCTAACTTCTTATTTACCCCTGCCCTACTCTCGTCAACTAGCACCACATCATCAGCAAAGAGCATACACCAAGGGATATCAACTTGTATGTCCCTTGTGGCCTCATCCATCACCAAGACAAATAAATAAGGGCTCAATGCTGACCCCTGGTGTAGTCCTATTTTAATTGGGAAGTCGCTGGTATCGCCCCCACCTGTTCGGACACATGTCATCGCATCCTTGTACATATCCTTGATGAAGGTAATGTACTTAGATGGGACTTTTTGCTTTTCTAAAACCCACCACTTGACATTCCTCGGAACTCTGTCATAAGCCTTCTTAAGGTCGATAAAGACCATGTGCAAGTCCTTCTTTTGGTCTCTATATCTCTCCATCAATTGTCGTATTAGGAAAATCACCTCCATGGTCGACCTTCCAGGCATAAACCCAAATTGGTTTTGGGTCACATTCATCACTCGTCGTAGGAGATGCTCGATAACCCTCTTCTAGAGCTTCATCGTATGGCTCATCAACTTAATCCCACGGTAGTTACCACAACTTTGAACATAACCCTTGTTCTTGAAGATCGGTACTAAAGTACTTCTCCTCCATTCATCAGGATTCTTGTTTGACCGGAAAATGAGGTTAAAAAGCTTAGTTAGCCATACTAACGCTCTGGCGCCCAAGCAACTCCACACCTCAATGGGGATACCATCAAGGCCCATTGCTTTACCACCCTTCATCCTCTTCATAGCCTCTCCGATCTCTGCCTCGTGGATTCTCCTCACCAAGCATTTATTGGTATGCTCAAATGAGTCAACCAACTCCAGGGTAGGACCCTCACTCTCCCCATTAAACAATTTGTCGAAGTACTCTCGCCATCTGTCCTTGATCTCCCCATCCTTCACCAGTGGCCGATCCGACCCATCATTGATGCATTTGATTTGGTTGATGTCTCTTGTCTTCCTCTCCCGAATCCTAGCTATCCTATAAATGTCCTTCTCCCCCTCCTTCGTGCCTAGGCGCTGATAAAGGTCATCATAGGCCTGACCCTTTGCTACACTCATAGTATAAAATATAATTAATTATAATAGAAATTTATATTAGTATAATATTACGTTATATATTAGAATTGATTATCTTATAAAATATAATTTATTGATATTATGTTAGAAGTTAGAAATTATTGTGTTATATATTAGAATTATTTATCTAATAAAATATAATTTATTGATATTATGTTAGAAGTTAGAAATTATTGTGTTATAGATTAGAATTGATTATCTTATAAAATAGAATTTATTAATATATGTTAGGTGTTAGAAATTATTGTGTTATAGATTAGAATAAATTATCTTATGAAGTAGAATTTATTGATATCATTGTTAGAAGTTAGAATTGATTATATAATAAAGGGTTAATTGCTAAATAAACCTTAACATTTTTGCTTTTGACAATTATATCCCAATCTTTAGGTAATTGCAATATAATCTCGACCTCAATTTACTTATTTCAAGTCAAACTTAATACCGATTGGAACTTCAAAAAATTGGTCGATTTGAAGGCGGTTCGAACAAATCGTAGTTCATATTTACCGATTCACTCCAGATCTAGGAGGAGACTCATCAC